TAAACGATAATGCACTAGGTCGGTGCGCCCTTTTTTCTGTTTCTCCATTTGTATCCAGTGTATTTGGACCACCCCGGTCTGTTGAGGGCAGCAAGCAGTGCATATTTCAGAACATTCCTATTGGATCTACTGAGTCCTTTCCTAGCGCAGGAGTAAAGTGTTTGTTGTGTTAGTGTTTAACATAAGCCTGTTTTAACAGAGCTATAGTTTCACTGGCACTTTTGCCAATTTTCATGCAAGATTTGATGTTAATCCACCACTTCAGATTCCTGCCACTCATTTTCCACCAACAGCGCAACACACGTTATTTCTTTTACTATTCTGTAAAGACTGAGTCAACTGGTCTGAGACCCATACGAGTACAAGCTAGAACATGTCAGAACACGGTCGAATGCGAATGGATGTGTGACTCCCCACGCTACACCGTGGGCATTCTGGGAATTAAACTGTCACACCTCTTCACTTCTGGGAGCCCTCCGGTCCAGTCATATGAACTCCCCCATGGGCGTCTTCAGTGGATTAGAGAAATCGCTGACAACATCTGCAATGGCTGTGCGGTGATGTCACCTGTAGGCCTTCTATGGGACATCTTGTGTTGGCTGTCCCTCCTCTACACTGAAGCCGGTGTTGGGAGCCGATTTAATGTGACTGGACAGAGAGCAACAATTTAGAAGGTGAATGGAAACATGTTTAATCTTAGGAGTAGCCTGGACCTGTACTTTAAGTGTTTGTTTTTTTTTTCTTGTGGCATGGTAAAGTTTTGATCCCACAGTTGGACTGTTTTTCTAGCCCACTTGGAGGCTGGCAAAATATAACTCCTCAAATGTCGTGGAACTGAAAGTCTCAGATTACTCCACTGCTCTCCAAAAATCACAATTTTTTTGGACCAGGGGCCAGTTTGTTGACATTTATAAAAAAAAAAAAACGTGAACTAACCGTTTTTGTTTTTTTTATTTGCAGTTTTTTTTCTGTCACAAATCTTCATAATTCTATATGAAACATAATGCATTTATTATTATTTTTTTAATTTTCTGGTTTTTAAAATGGTATTAAACCCTAAACCAATAATGTCATATATTGCAGCTTAGCAGTTGTTAGATGTGGTGGCTGCATTTGTTTTTTTAGGCATTTTTTCCCCCCTCTATTTTCACCTGGTGATCTGGCCACTTACACACCTCCTGTATTATTATTATTATTATTATACAGTATTTATATAGCGCTAAAAGGTTTGCTCAGCGCTGTACATTATAGTGGGGGACAGAACATGAGACAATACTGTAACAAAACAATACACGAGGGGGTCAAGGGCCCTGCTCTTTCGAGCTTACAATCTAGGAGTATTCGAGTGCCCCCACTCTGGATGAAGGCGCACAGGGGGCAGATATGGACAGCAGCATTGTTAATCTTGGTGGAGGGTAGTGCTGGATGTACTAGTTAGATTTAGATACACGAACAAATTGATGTCATACTCCATCCAACACTTTATAACCAGTTACAGCAACAGTTTTTTTTTTTGTTTTTTTTTTTTCATTTTGGGATAAAGGTTTTACATAAAAGCAGATTATTGTAAGCACCTCTGTCAGTGGTACATTTTTTGTCTAATCCCTCTAAATGCTAAATCTGCAAGAGAGATTGTTCTTTTGAAAAACAACAGACTTACTGGCAAGATCACAGATGAGAGCATAAAAAAAGAAAACTAATGCAGTCACCATATCTAAGAATTGGTAAGCTGAAATATAATACATTTTTGCTTTTATTACTATCTAAGTTGGGTTTCAAGAAACGAATATTTGTATGTTAAAAAATAGTGCTCAGTATTGCTTTTGATAACTATTAGTATATTGTACGGTCTTTGTCCCGTTAGTTGGATGCCTGCAGTGTGTTTTACAGTGAAGTTTGTTCTTATATTTTGCCTTTTCTGGTTCCCCGCCTCTTTTCCCAGTCAACACAATAATGTTTAAGTAAAACTTTTCTGCTTTCATTACACACCTTATTTTAGACCCAGTGATGCCATCACTGGATCCCTGTGCTTCTCTATAAAAGGACAGATCATGGTGGGTGGGAGGGGCTGTGCAGAATTCTGTACATATCTTCTGAAAACATTACAGCACCTTGTACCAGTACTCCTCTCAAGAACCCTCAGCCCTGATGCAAACAGTGGGCTGGCCCCTGGGAGAAGTTATGAAAAATATTAAATTGGGTGCATGTCAGTCTGAAGGAGTGGGCGTTCCTAAGCAGACTGTATTTGCATGCAGACCACCCTAAGTAATTTTCACATAGGATGCTGCCACCTCATGATGGAAAAAATGTAAATCCTGTGAATGATAGGGGCAGACTAGGCACAATCGGCTAAGAGGAAAGGACTAAATAATGCTGAATGTCCCCCAGCCAGAAAATGAGGTGGCCTCTATCTGACTTGCTGGAGCTCACTGTGTGCAGTGAAATTGGAGTAAGGAATGGGATCTGTACAACTGTGCAAGACTTACGGCTGGAGATTAACTTTTATATGTACAGCCCAGTGGATGACATAGTTTCTAACCAAATCGGCACTTTTTTGGGTCTGGTTGTCTGCAGTAGGAATATTAGATAGTAAGAGGCTTTGGGAAGAGGAACTGATCTTACTGGTTCCAAATACTCTGAGAAAACACTGGGGACTATGTCAATGCTCCATAAATATGGGAAATAACATTGAGTATATTATATATTAGAGAACATGCTGCAATACATCTCTGCTGCTTGCTGCTCAGCTTAACCATCCGTGGCTCTTTACTGAATATATAATATATATATATATATATATATATATATATATATATATATATATATATATATATACACAGTGGGGCAAAAAAGTATTTAGTCAGCCACCAATTGTGCAAGTTCTCCCACTTAAAAAGATGAGAGAGGCCTGTAATTGGCATCATAGGTAGACCTCAACTATGAGAGACAAAATGAGAAAAAAAATCCAGACAATCACATTGGCTGATTTGGAAAGAATTTATTTGCAAATTATGGTGGAAAATAAGTATTTGGTCAATATCAAAAGTTCATCTCAATACTTTGTTATATATCCTTTGTTGGCAATGACAGAGGTCAAACGTTTCCTGTAAGTCTTCACAAGGTTGGCACACACTGTTGCTGGTATGTTGGCCCATTCCTCCATGCAGATCTCCTCTAGAGCAGTGATGTTTTGGGGCTGTCGCTGGTCAACACGGACTTTTAACTCCCTCCAATGGTTTTCTATGGGGTTGAGATCTGGAGACTGGCTAGGCCACTCCAGGACCTTGAAATGCTTCTTAGGAAGCCACTCCTTCATTGCCCAGGCGGTATGTTTGGGATCATTGTCATGTTGGAAGACCCAGCCACGTTTCATCTTCAATGCCCTTGCTGATGGAAGGAGGTTTGCACTCAAAATCCCATTATACATGGCCCCATTCATCCTGTCCTGTACATGGATCAGTCGTCCTGGTCCCTTTGTGGAGAAACAGCCCCAAAGCATGATGTTGCCACCCCCATGCTTCACAGTAGGTATGGTGTTCTTTGGATGCAACTCAGCATTCTCTCTCCTCCAAACACGACGAGTTGTGTTTCTACCAAACAGTTCTATTTTGGTTTCATCTGACCATATGACATTCTCACCAATCCTCTTCTGGATCATCCAAATGCTCTCTAGCAAACTTCAGACGGGCCCGGACATGTACTGGCTTAAGCAGGGGGACACGTCTGGCACTGCAGGATCTGAGTCCCTGGCGGCGTAGTGTGTTACTGATGGTAGCCTTTGTTACGTTGGTCCCAGCTCTCTGCAGGTTATTCACTAGGTCCCCCCGTGTGGTCCTGGGATTTTTGCTTACCGTTCTTGTGATCATTTTGACCCCACGGGGTGAGATCTTGCGTGGAGCCCCAGATCGAGGGGGGTTATCAGTGGTCTTGTATGTCTTCCATTTTCTAATTATTGCTCCCACAGTTGATTTGTTCACACCAAGCTGCTTGCCTATTGCAGATTGTCTTCCCAGCCTGGTGCTTTGTTTTGTTTTTGTTTTTCTGGTGTCCTTCGACCGCTCTTTGGTCTTCACCATAGTGGAGTTTGGAGTGTGACTGTTTGAGGTTGTGGACAGGTGTCTTTTATACTGATAACAAGTTCAAACAGGTGCCATTGATACAAGTAATGAGTGCAGGACAGAGGAGCCTCTTAAAGAAGAAGGTACAGGTCTGTGAGAGCCAGAAATCTTGTTTGTAGGTGACCAAATACTTATTTTCCACCATAATTTGCAAATAAATTCTTTCCAAATCAGCCAATGTGATTGTCTGGATTTTTTTTCTCATTTTGTCTCTCACAGTTGAGGTCTACCTATGATGCCAATTACAGGCCATCTGTCATCTTTTTCAGTGGGAGAACTTGCACAATTGGTGGCTGACTAAATACTTCTTTGCCCCACTGTATGTATGTGTGTGTATATATGTATGTGTATATATATATATATATATATATATATATATGTATATGTATATATATATATATATATGTATATATATATATATATGTATATATATATATATATATATATATATGTATATATATATATATATATATGTATATATATATATATAATATCTTTTTTTTTTTTTTTTTTTTATTCACATATGCTGCTGTTCTGTGTATTGGCTCAGGATGAAAGACTGTAGTTTGTGCCTTCTGATCAACACTTTTAACCACCTCCCGTCCGGCCGTTGTATATAAATGGCCAGACGGTGGCACTGCAGGGTCGGGTGGCCGTCTATAAACGGCCTCCCCGCACCCTGCTTGTGCGCGCTCCCTGGGAGCGTGCAGCACCGCGATTCGGTGCCCGCTGTGGCCTCCGGGCACAGTGGAACACCGATCTTCGGACAGGACCTCTGTGCGAGGTCCCGATCATGTGATCACTGATTGGCCAACCAGTGATCACATGCAGAGTAGTAAGTAAGATGTCACTTCTGACATCATTGCTTACTACATGTGAAATCTGTGAATGATCACAGAGGTCACATGGTCCAAGACTATTCACAACAGCCTTGTACCATGTGCAAAGCTTTGACCAATCACAGCCCACACAGTAAATGTCAATGGCTGCACGAATGCAGCTAGAGAGACGGAGAAATGATTGCTTTTACAGCCTTTATGGGTGTAAAATCAATGTAAAAAAAAAAAAAAAAATCTTCATCACCCCCCACAAATAGTACAGTGTCCCCATGGTGACACTGTACTGCTAGGGTGACAGCATGTAAAAAAATAAATAATAAAAAATATTTAAAAAAAATGTTTAAAAATTACAATTTTTGGTTATAAACTAATTTGGGTTATATTTTTTTACTAAAAATATAACGGAATACATTTTGGCCAAGATTTATGATGAAATACTATTTATTTGCAAAATTTTATAAGAAACACTTTTTTAAAAAAATTTTTGGACTTTTTAATTTACATAGCAAAAAAAAATAAAAATCCCAGTGGTGAATAAATACCACCAAAATAAAGCTTTATCTGTCTCAAAGAAATACTAAAAAATTCATATGGGCACAGTGTTGCATGACCGCGCAATTGTCATTCAAAGTATGATCGCGCTGAAAGCTGAAAATTGGCCTGGACAGGAAGGGGGTAACAGTGTCCGGACGGGAAGTGGTTAAAAGTCAATAAAAAGGATAAGTAGTGGTGGAAAAAAGCACTTGTAGAATTTCAGGCTAAACCTAACTAGTTTTAAAAATGTACTCCAAAGCCCTCTCCCCTTTCCCCTTTTAACACTTATGCTGACTAACCCGTGTAAAAAAAGATGTATATACTTCCCTATTTTAATGCCACTCGCCTCCGGTTATGTGATCTGGCTTCCCCTGTATCAATGAGGAGCGACTGTAGGGAAGAGGAGGGAGCACTGACAATGGATGGGCCATGGGAGCCTATTGGTGATCTCACCTCTCCCAGGCATTTCCAGTTATTGAGTGCTCTCTCCTTTCCATTGAAGCCGCTGACTGACACAGGGGAGCAGGATCACGTGGCCAAGAGTGGGCTGAGAATAAGTAACTGTATACATTCTTCTTACACAGGTTAGTCAGCATAGTTGTTAGGAGGGAGGGAACATTTTTAAAGTGAACAGTCAGTCTATTTGTCAGCCCTGTTTGAATGGTCTCCCCAATCTTGGAATAAAACACACAATTTTACTATATGTAAATACCTTTTTTAGTAGGTGCGCTCCTCAGCCAGTGTCATTTGCCTATGCGAATGACGTAGGATCCTCTAATCCCCCTTGATACCTGGGATACTAAATTCAGTGACATTTCGGCTATGAGGGGAGGGCTGGAAGACAGCTGGAGGGGGGGCTGGAGGGCGGAGAGAGGTGGAGACAGGCGGAGGTGGCATGTGCGTGATTTGCCTTTACTGAGGGGGTGTGGCCGTTACCAGGAAGCGCAAGAGCGATGGCTTCAGCTGCCCAAAGTTAACATGGCTGCGGTGTGCATTTCCAGGCTGCTTTTTTTTTTTTTCAATGGAAAATGCAGATTTTGATAAATTTAAGTTGACATAAATTATCTACTTTGTTACATGCTGCTTGTTGTTTTTCTGACACACATCAACTGCAAGTGAAGTTGTTCTTTAGGACTCGTTCGATTTAGCCTGGAATTCTACAGGTATTTGCATAAAAAGTCTTTGTGATCCATGCAACTGGGGGGGGGGGGGGGGGGGGGGCAGGGGTGTGTCCTTTGCCTACATACTTTGAGGTATAAAGTGTTCCTTTTCTTATATCAGAAAGTTGGCAGATATGGGTAATAGCCTTGGATGGACAGCACTGGTCCCACCGAAGTATAGTACCATTTTATGTTAATTCTGTACAATAGTTTCCTCTCCCATATGTTGGTTTTGGTGCATTTGTAAAAGTGATTTGTAGTGATTTTTTTTTTTTTTTTTTTTTTTTTGGAATTATTGCAGCCTGCCAGCATTTTTAAGAAATACGTGCCTGAATTGCAAGAATCCAAGTTGCACTGCTCACCCCTGCAGTACGCTTTATTCTGCGCTCTGAGAGAGCGTAACAAAGGTAACTATTTTATTATGTTGGAGTGTGTTTTGGGTCATGTGAGGTGAGTTTGAAATAAGCTGATAGCGACCCCTCAGAGTCCCCCGTTCTATTTTTCATGGGGACAGGACACAGCATTTTTTTGAGTTATGCATCATCAGTTTCCTCTACTGTCAAGTTGCACTCGATCTCTGAGTATTTCTAGGCCTTTTTGGCATCAAGTAACTGTTTTTACAGGCTGTCCCCAGTTCTCTTCCTATTTTTTTTGTGCGTGTGTGTGTGCGTGCGTGCTCTTATAAGTTTCAACAGTGAAAGACTTCCTATGTTCTTCAGTGGACTAAAAAAAAAAAAAAATCAGGATTTTTGTACTCATTTTAAAATCTCTGTTGAAGTCTGTTGAGGGATACAGGACCCACTCCTCTGTGTTTATGATCTTGGTACTAGTTCACTACAACACAGAGGGATGCATTCTGGCCTAGCCTACAGTTTTTAGTTTGCCAGTGTCTGATCCTTCTGTAGGCAGCAGTAAAACCCAAAGGTGACAAACCTCCCAATGCCCCTGATTGGGCTCACAAGAAAAGGATTTTAGGGTGAGCACAAAAATAGTTTATTTTTCCATTTGGTGGCGCTGCTCTTGCACTGCAAGGGTTGACTTTGCATTTATTTTAGGGAGAGTAAAAGCACTTTTATGTATGTGACCCTCCGCTCCCCTGGCAGATGTCTCTCCCCTCCGTGATCTGGCAATGGACTGTACTGGTGCCATCATGTCCAATGCAGGGCTAAAGATCCTGCATCACCCTTGATGATGTCAATACCGAAGACCACTGGAGCACGGGGGAAAAGACACAGATGGGACCGGAGGTTCAGCTAAGTTAGTCGTCTTTTCTATGCCACATAAACCTTATTGAACAGTTAACCCTTGCAGGTGTAGCCCCACTAAAGGGAGAGTTTTCAAATTTCCCAGAATTCAGCTTTAACAAGTTTCCCTAGCCTCAACCAGTGACTGGACAGTGGAAAGAGAAGTAGCAGATTGATCTGTCACTGCTCTCTTCTCCAATCAGCATGCTGTTTGTAAAGCAGCACAACTATTCTGCAGTTTGTGCTTTTTCTCCCCCCCCCCCCAGTTCAAGCTCTGCTATACAGGCATAGGAAAGGGCTGATACCAAGCCAAATTTAGGTACTTTGGACTGCTTTTGTAATAATAAAAACAAAACTGCTTTAATTATGTATTTTAAAACTGTGTTGAGTTTAACTTAAATAAAAAATTTTTTTTTTTTTTTTTCAGACTTGGCACTTGACCTTATGAGAGTCATGAAAGAAGAAGGCATACCTTTGAGAGAGCACTATTGCTGGCCTCTGCTGGCTTCCTTCCTCCGTGAGAAAGATGTAGAAGGTAAATCGTCACATCCTGTGGTTGTAGGTGACCTAGAGAGAATAGCTTGTAATAAGTCTGCTTGTCTTCTGCATAATCCGCAACCCCTCAACTGTCAGCTTTTCACCTGTCTTGAGTGACATCATCTTGCCTGAACAAAAGAAGTGTAGACTTTCTGTGTAGTAAAGGGAAGGGATTCATTACTGTTGACAGTAATTAGCAGGTCAGGTATAATGCATTCTTCAGTTGCTGGTTTTCCAACACCTACACTATTGCAAATAATGCTTGGATTGACTGCATCACCTATGGGTAGTCTGTGTATGGGCCGCATAAGGTATATCTTTGCTAATGAAATCCAAACCACTTGAGTTATTTCTGGTCTTGGGGAATACTTCGTATGCTTGTACCGTAGTACAGAGAGGACCAATGTGGAGTGGGTAAGTTAAACGATTTTTGTTAGACACAAGCAAATTGCTTTGTTGGCCACACATTGTCCCCTTGCATTTTCAGATGGATTTTGTAGGTTGAAAAGTCTGGTTTTGTGAAGTGACTGGGCAATTTTAGGGAACAGGAAAACTAAATTATAAACATTAAAGCTGAACAGGCAAACCAGTGAAAAATGAAATACATATTTTAGCAGTTTTACCAGCCAATGGGTTTTTGTTTCTCTTCATTCAGTCCTGGTATCTCCACAGCCCTGGCACACAGTATAGTCCTGTCTGACGGGGCAGGAGACCTGATTTTTTTTTTCTGCTTCTATTAAAGTACTTAGGCAGCACATGAACATTGCAGCACATCTAGCTGTTTCTGCTGCTTATCATCTGAGTTTTGCTGTACAGTATATTGCAAAAATGTATTAGTTGGTAGACTTCAGAGCTGCATTAACTTATTATTTTTAAATCTGCCTGGAATTCAGCTGCAGAATATTTTTGCTGCAGTGCCCTTACTAAAGTTGATTTGCTTGCAAATGTTGATATTTTTCAGTCTTTTAGTTGTCAGGCGAGTCACCCAGATCCTTTTTTTCTGCCTTATTTTTGGCACAAAATTCTCCTTGATGATTTTATTATCTTTTCAAGCAGTAGAAATTGGTCGGTTTTGGGTACTGAGATTTACTGATTTTGAAACCTGATGATGGACAGAGTGGAGAACACAATAGAATCCCTTGCAGAGAAGAACTGGACGAGACCGTTGTTTATTACAAATAAATAATGGGCTAATGGCCCTGAGTGGAAACCATGTCCTTGAAGACAACACCCACTTTTCACCATGGCCATCAATCACTGCAGCACCGTAGTGCAATTTCTTTAGCTTACATAGAACTGTCTCTAGCACGGAAGGGCCGGTTGGTTGTGTTTGTCTCCCAGGCTAGAGTCCTCCCCTGACTTTGCATATTTATACATCTTTTCTTTAATGATGTGAAAATACATTAGAGTTTTTACAATGCTAGCTTGAATTTCTCTTCAATTTTGCACAGAAGGAAGTGGTTTAAGTTGCACAGATTCTAAACCTTTAAATTTTTTTAAAATAACACTCTGTGCAGTGGTTTTGCATACGGCAGCCCGTATCCTCCTGCCTTCTGAGTACACCCCCCCCCCCCCCCCCCCCCAACAAGCCGCTTTCTAGTGGGGTACTCATGCGGGTCCGCGCCCGAGCCCTGATTTTTCATCTATAGACAGACAGGTAGGCCTTGCCCTG